GCAGTAGCAGCAGCAGGAGTAGTAGTAGTAGTAGCAGTAGCAGTAGCAGTAGCAGAAGTAGTAGTAGCAGTAGTAGTAGTAGCAGTAGTAGTAGTAGCAGTAGTAGTAGTAGCAGTAGTACAGGGGATGATAGGGCAAGAACCATAAATAGATAAGTCCTACGGGACTCCACACTGCATTGATGTCATCATAACCTTTATCCCGAATCCCGAACAACCATTGCTTTATTATGGATTTTACACTAAGGTCAACCGGTCAACCTTTCTTGTAAATTTAAAGTTTAAATGGTCTTGGAAGGCTATGGCTATGGTGAGTAGTCTTAAGTAAATATAAGAATGCAACTCTTGTTCATCTTATTTACGACAATAGATCATGGGGTCATTTGGGCATCATTTGTTTGACATCTGTGGCTCATCGGTTCCTGGAGGATGAGAAACGACGACGATCGAGGACGGACGTGAGGATTCAGTGTGACCAAAGCTTCTTGAAACACCCGACGACCCTGGCCCTACAAGTCCAGGCCCAAACCTGGTCTTTTACCTCCTCAAGTATGGGTGTTGTATGACCATCTCTAGTAAAATGCGGTCAAACTGACTTGTAGGGCTGGTGTCAACACTTGACCCACCTGTCCATCAACCATCCTGTCTACGTAGCTGCACCACAGGTCCTCCAAATATGGACATGGGCCGAATTGTCATATTGATTGAAGGGGAGTACCCATCCTCAATTCTTCCCGGGTTCAAAACATCGGGTGTTCCAACCATCCTCTTCCAGTCAGGCGGACCTGAGATTCCCACCACGGTCCCATGGTCCCACTACCCTCTTCTCCGCCGTTCCCACTGAGGCGGAAGGAAGGTATAACACCAAAAACACATCCTCGCCTTAGACCCCCCAATCTCTACATGATCTGGAATGTTATATAGATATGTCTCTGGGATAGATGATGATGGATGTGAAAAGGGTCCCCTAGAATCACTCTTCAATGTAGGAGCCATGAAAAACACACCAGGCGACATATGGCAGGCACGTGCCCAAGTCCTCACAGCTCACCTGCCACACAAAAAAGAGGTTTCGATTCCGCGGGAAGCGGTGCACCTACTAGCGATGGCCTCCAACCTACTACTAGGGATGGCTTTCAATGCATGGGTTTCCTTGCGGATCTTTGAAGAAGGGTTCTCCTCTCGGTGAGGAAACGGCCTTCAGAACAGTACGGTTCATTCACAGGTAGATGCGAGGGTTAGGAGTTGCTACAACTGCGGCTGCATGGACTCATCAACGTGCAGATCTGGCAAGATGCTGTGGGAATTGAAGATTCCCTAGGGATCCACACACCTTCTCAAAAGGTACTTGGGCCCTCCAAGCTTACATAAATAGTCTCCAATCACATTCTGAGAAGGTATTTGGATCCCTCACCCTGAATCACCTCTTTTCTGGTGCGCTTTTCGACGCCCCTGATGATCAGGGGGCTCTGGATGGCTCGTGCGTATGCTCCACGAAAGGAAAAGTGTTCGGGGAAGCCGAAAAATCATGTTTATATAAGATACCCTACAAGTCAGCTGGACCTCATTTTGCTGGAGATGGTCACCCAAAACCCATACTGAAGGAGGAAAAAAAGACCAGGAGAGGCCGTCGGGTCAGACTGGCCGTCGGGTAGCGTTTGGGAACGTGTTTTGACCAGGCCAAGCCGGGTCCCGGTCTTCGATACCCAGTGGATCCGGGTCCCAGTGGGTCAACCCCTCTGACCTGAACCACACAAACGGTGGACCAGCGTGGACTCGAAGTGCTCACACCGGAGCCAAGGAGTTCAAAAGGCGACAACTCGATGTCTTTGAAGCAGATGTTTCCACAAAAGGTTGAAACATGTCGTCAACTCCTCAGCTTTTGGAGACTTTAAAGTGACCCCCGAAGTCGGGTCCAGGACGAAGAGAAGTCGGGTCCGATTGAATGTTCGTCTCCCGGCTCACAAAAGGGTGGTGTTTAGTCCCTAAGCCTCAGCGAGTGGATAATGGCATCCTCCAAGTTCGGCACCCCGTCTTGTGACTCCTGTTATACAGAGATATCAGATATCCATCCTGGATCCCAAGATTGGACCCGATTCTGGGTGATGGGGAACAAGGATGGCTGGGTCAGTTCCCCCGTTCCCCTTCAGGTCCCACGCTTCCTGGGCCATTGATTGAGGCGGGTCATCACGAACCACCGAGCTGTTTTACAAACCGCCTGAGTCCATCTTCGTTCTTCGCACGCGCTTCAGTCCACCGAGTCGACCGGAGTCCACTGTGCGAAGAACGAAGAACCATCTTCTGCTCGAAAAAAAAGGTCTCTGGCAGGGCAGTCTGCCACGATCAGCAGAATCTGGCGCTTCATCTCCCACTCCATCCGCATGACCAATCCGCGACGCATCGCGACAAGCGTGCCTCCAGAGTGAAGCTTGTTTGAGACACTGCCAGATGTCGTGGGAAGCTGCCAGCCACCCAAGCACTCGTCACCGGTGACACATACCTCGTGTCAGGACGTCCTGTGGCCGTCTCTGGGGTCTTTCTCTAGCCTGAGAAAAGCCGTTTCACTGGAAAAACAAAATCAAGGTGAACTGAACTTTCTGTTGGATTTTAGTGGCTTTGTCCCCACTACCCAAGATGGTCCACTCACTGGGTAGGTCAGATGTCACAGAGAGGCGTAGGGTCTCAAAAAGAATGGTCCTCACAAACCTTGAGAGAGGACTCGCAAACCATTCGACGCATCCCGAAACGCCCGGTGATTTTGGTGCGTGATGTGCAGCATGCCTCGTGGTGTCCTATGATGTCGCCATTACTTTGTCCAGCGTTCGAATGAAACGAAAGAGCTGGGGTCCCCCAAGAGCTGAGCAGACCTATAAGTATTATAGTCAGTGCGATCCTTTTTCCAGTGGTTGAGGGTTGGGCGGTTGGGTATCATCCATCTTGCCACATGACCTGATGCGTGTGACTTGGGAGCCGAATCGGAAGCAGCCAAATCGGAAGAGCCGACTGCCTACCCAGCTCACTCTCTCGTCACCGAAGATGCCTCATATTGCCTCATACCTCGTGAAAAAGTCCCCATGTGACGCCGAGAAACGTGCGGAGACCAGTGTCGCCATAGGGCATGGGCTTCCCCAAACCATCCAAATCAAGGCAGATCAAATACTCCTGCAGCCCAAGTGATAGGCTTGAAAGGAAACAGTGTCATGTATGCTTTCCAGCATGAGCGCTGCGGTGTTTTCCCTCGCCGCAGTTGTTGATCCACTCAAGAAAACAATCAATTATGTATTCCATGTTGAGAACTCCCACATCCAGGTCCTCCGTTTCTATCGCTTTCGCTGCTTGCAGGTGGACAGCTCGCAGACCGCAGAAGTCCAATGTGAAATTTGGACTGTTTTGTCGCTTTCTCGGATCCGAAGCGAATGACTTCTTGTTCCTATAGTAGTAAGAAGGCTACTAGTAGTGATTATGCCAAGAGCCCCTAGTAGCTTCTTGTTGCTAGTAGTGATGCCAGGAGCCCCTAGTAGCTTCTTGTTCCTATAGTCGCTTTCTCGGATCCGAAGCGAATGCAGACTCCGTGATCCAAAAACGCTTGAGCGGGGGGACTCCCTCGGCGGCCAAACCGCATCCTTCATGACTCCCAAAGAGCCACGATTCCGGTCCGTGCAGTCGGACCATTGGCTAAATGTATACTTAGGTGACCCGAGTCAAGGAATTTCCTAAGACATTCTACCCGAAAAGGAGTCCAAAGACATACATTCTGACCGACTTAAGTCGAAAGTTCACTTCGGGTCACCGAGTCAAGTCAGACAGCAAACGTTCGTTGACTCGCAGGGCCGCAGGGCACGAGGCTGACAACATCTCCTCGGTCCTCTGAGCTGCCCAAAAAAGAAACGGCTGCGCGGTCTGTTTCAGCTCGAACAGACACCGGGCTCCTCTCCGGGGACGAGGCCGCTGGCATCAACCACTGCCACAAAGAGATGGCTCCAGTGGCTCAGCGTCGCCTGGGCGTCGCTTCTTCGCGCTTGATGTGCTTGGGACCACGTTTTTGGGCTACAGTAGGTTGGAGGCCATCGCTATTAGGTTGGAGGCCAGCAAGCTGGTCTAGAAGGTCTGCCCCCAGGACGTCCCGCTGTCGAGTTACGAAGGTATGACTGGAGCCCTAGGAGACTGAAAGTCCAAGTTGGACTCATGACTGGGGGAAACCCAGGAAAGCCACCGGTGGGTGACAACTCTCACTCTCAGCTTGCTGGAGCATTGGTCTGTTCAATGCATCTTAGATTTGAGTACAAGGTTCATGCAAACCGCATACCCCACCAAAATAAGACAAAAAGGAAAAGGTTAAAAGGTGTCTCAATTTAACATCGCCGGACCCAGGCTAACTCTGTGAATCTTGAAAATAATACAAATGCAAAAACAAAGCAATAAAAGCAACTACAAACAGCAAAATCAAAAAAAACAAATCAACAAAGCAAAAAAAACAAATGAAAAAGCAGCAAAAGCAAAAAACAACAAACAGCGAAAGCAATTTTTCGTTTTTGCTTTGTTTCGCGTTTTTTCCCGCTTTTCTTTCACTTTCTTTCGTTTTTGTTGTTGTTGTTGTTGTTGTTTTCGCTTTTTTTGTTTGCCCGCATTTTGTCCGCTTTTGTCCGCATTTGTTTCGCAGTTGTTTCGCTTTTTTGCGCTTTGTGCTTTTGTTTCGCTTTTTCCCGCTTTTTTGTTCGCTTCTTTTTTTTTTGCTTTTTGCTTTTTCATGTGTTTTTTGTTTCGCTTTGTTGTTTGTAGTTGTTTCATTTGCTTGTTTGTTTTTTTGTTCGCTTTCGTTTCGCTTTCTTTTGGCTTTTTGCTTTTCATCTGTTTTTTTCGCGTTTTTGTTTCGCTTGTTTTCGCTTGTTGCTTTTTAATTTGCTATGTGTTCTTTAATTGATGTTTGGACTTGCTTTTATTTTTCTTTTTGCTTTTTCATTTGCTTTTGTTTCTTTGTTGGATTCGCTTTTTTTGCTTTTGCTTTTTGTAGTTGCTTTTTTGTCGCTTTATCTATTTTTGTTTTTGGAAACAAACATCAGAGATAGCCTAAGTGGTTTTCTTAAGTCTCAATGAGTACATGATACAATGTAATTATCAGTGAACCGGGCTCAACTGTGCCTCCCCAATCGGTCAGCAGTGACCCCGCATGACCCCGCCAACGTCCAAGTTCCGCCCACCTCGAAGGAGTTCTCCTCTTGCTCCCAAGAGACGTCTCCTGCAGCAAAACAGGCAGATTTCTGTTGCAAATGTTTGGACCCTCCAAACCCACATAAAAGAGTGTCCAATCACTTTCTCAGAGGGCATTTGGTTCCATAGGGGTTGCGAAGATTTCATCCATAAGACTGGCAGTGTGCGTTGTGATCGGCAAAGCTTGGGGGAGCTTTCCTAGGAGTAACTCCAAGCAAGTAGGCAGCACCCTGGTCGAAGGTCAACGCAAATAGGCACCACCACTGATCCGCTGATCGAAAAACAGGTCCTTCTGAACGTGGATGAATCTGCACATCGTTGCCGAAACGTAAGTACGGTCTTGTGAGTCTTGTGAGTCTTGTGTTCTGCTTGGAAGATGTAAAGATTGCTTCAGACTGAGGAACAGAATGGAAGCAGATCTCCATCACCTTGATGACCTCCTCGATGCCGATCGGAGCCTCGATCGGCCGGGCTCCTGACGTTCCGTTGGACCGGCTGCATGCCAAATCCACCTGGCCCAGCGTGAGGTTCTCCCAGCAGCCTGGAGCGAGTGGCCACTGTGTCATGCGACTCCGGTTGACGGTTTGGATGGTAGTTTGTGGGCTGTGCACCGTGCCCGCCCAGTAAAAAGGGACCCAAGTACATGGAATGCCTGGAATGCCTGGATATTACATATATATACGTACAGTAGATTACAGTATAGTATACCGTATATGGACTTCCAAGACCATTTGAACAAATGGATACAAATGGTTGACCTGGTTTGTAGTGTAAAATGATTGGTAAAACTGTGCTTCGGGATGCCCCGCCTATTAAATTAATGGTGGGCCAGGAAGCCCAGATGTGTATCAAAGACCAGACCTCATGCTCTCAAAAGTTGGAACCTGCCACCAGCACTGGGTGCCAGTCTCTTGAAACGCTCCAGCAAGAAACCTTGAAGGAAGGGTCCTTCTAGTCCAAGGCTGACATGATGGAGAGGAAGCAGGATGTGCAGTCACTTCAAGACACACGGCCAAAAACACTTCAATCATTCACCCTCAAAGCCTCAATGACAAATCCATCTGCAACAAAACCAACAAATACCTGGACCCATCTGGACCCTCTGGAACCCTCCGGCTCATACCCTAGGGCCCTAGAGATCCCTAGAGCATCATGTATCTTGTAGGTTCTTCGAAGCGACCCAACTTCATCCCCGGGTTGGTTTGGTCACTTGAGGACTCCAACAAGGTCACGAACTGAAGAAGCTGGTACCCATTTTCTGATGTACTTTGAGACTGCAGGTGCCCTCCTCGTTTCGATATGTGTCGATCTAGAATCTACACAAACCCCTGCAGAACGACCAGGAGAATAGAATTTTCTCCGCCCACCCCATGCATGTCGTCCTGCGTTGCTTTGCTTTGGGCGCAGCCGTTTAGGGCCCTTCTCACAACTGCTGCGCGCCAAGAACACCTGTGGTGCGAAGTCCTTGGTGGCAGACTTCCTCCCAGTTGCTCTTCATCTATCCCTGCCACCCGACCCCCAACCTTCCTTTCAGTCAGACGCGGATCCCGGGTCGGGGGAGACCCGGGGTTCTCACCATTGTCGGGCTGTAAACGCAGCATCTGAGCAGTATGTGTTATATTGATGCATACCTAGATCTTCCAACTATGCAAAGCTTCTGGCTGTTGGCTGGTTGTATAGATGAACAGGCAGAAATGTTGCATAGTTGGAAGATCCAGGTATAAGATTTAGATATAGATATCTAGATTTATTTAAGTATATATATATATAGTATACTATATATATATATTGCTACCCCAGGATTCCCTTCGTACATCGGATCTCACGAACACATTCCAAGGATCCGAAGGATCCGAAGGGCCCTTTGGTTGCTTCGTGAGAATAAAAGGCTACGGCGAACATGGGGCGCCCCAACGCCCAACGAATGTGGGGATGTCGTCTGGAGCAAACTGGGCCAGGCTGGGCGGCTTCTTTTTCGCGCATGTTCGCCCCACCCACCCATTAAACGTCCCGTGCCAAGAGGCATAGGCTGGAAGTACATCGAGCCATTTGACCAACTCCTCCACGCTGAAGTTCACCAGCTCACTCAGATTCCAGCCTTGAAAAGAGTGGAATTGCCGAAAAACTGGAAGACAAAAAACGGAAGCCAAGTTGATGTTCGGTCCTTGAACCTCGTCCAGAGCTCTGCGATCATCACGACGCACCCTCTCGAGGGTGCAAGAAGCTCTGAAGGTTCAGTTCGAGCGGGAAGAAATCTCTGAATTCATGTGTCAGCATGAGCCATATGTATATAGACTGTATACTCTTTAATCATCCCCCCAATTCGAAGAGGATGTCCAATTCAATTGGGGGGTTATGGTCCTCAAGAGTCTACATTACCCTTCACTTTTGCTCTGCTGTCCAAGGAACTGTTGTTTCTGCCTTAGTTCAGCCGTCTGATCATCCATGCTCTGGTTCAGTCTTGCAAAGGAAGGGTAGTAGATGTAGTAGGGTGGTGGAGGAAAGACCGCATGTTCACATCGCTCTTCTCACATCAAGAAACACAGAAGAAAAAATAAACATGCTTGGATATGCCTGGGCAGCTTCAAAAGCATCAAATACCTGCAGTCTCAGTTCGTGCCTCAGAAAATGGGTACAAGTATGGCCCGTTTATGTCCCATTCTGTAGGGAGGTCATCGCTACTAGCTTGAAGGCCGTCGCTACTAGGGTGGAGGCCATCGCTAGTAGGGTGAAGGCCTCGCTATTAGGTTGGAGGCTACTTGAAGTTGGGTCCAGGCGCTCCAAATCACAAAAATTGCAACATGCTATTGACCACAAACTGAATGGCTCTTACAGTAGGGGACGAATCCATCCAAATCCCTGTCGTCCATCCATCCAATTCATCGGTAAGAATATCAAGGAATAATTCATCCAAAATCCCTTGGATCAACCCTGTACTCACGTCTCTAGACCAAAAATACTTAGAATGATCACCCAGTGGCTTTCCACATAGCCACTGGCTGGCCCGCTGCAGCTAGGGCAGCTCAAGATGAGCTGTTGCTGCTGTGCCGGCCGGATTGCACACCTGCCATAGGAAGGTGGAGAAGTTCAACTACGGTGGAATCAAGACATTTGTGCTCACATGTGATTTTCAAGCAAGGTAATTAGGATGTTCACATATGGTTCAAATGGTCAATTTGTGCGTTCCAGTCGAAATCGAGCAAAGTGTGGCATTGGTGAACGTCTCTGTCTCTCGTGGGGTAGTCGTTTTCATGCCTTAGCCGGGATTTTGGGCGTGTTCATTCCTTTCAATTCCTCCTTTACATACGCAGCATTCCGGTTCCAAAAACACAGAAAGAAAATAATGCAGTGATGTCAGTAGACCTCATTTTTTATCGAGGTGCGATATCATTTGGGAGAAAGGCTAGAAATAAAGAAGAAGGTTGCACAAACCAATAATTACTGCCAGCCCAGGGGCCAAGCCATCCAAAGAAATTTCAACTGCACCAGGAGAATACGACGTTCTTTGAGGGGGTCACAGTTTCTTCGCAATCAACCCTTGCTTCTCAGGGTGTATCTCTTGCATCGAGACCGCTAACGCTCCTCCAGAGCTACGAGTAGGGGAGGCGCCCATTCCATGGGCCTCTTGAGATACTCGAAGAAGTGGACCCTTCGGTATAACTTCCCCTCTGGGGGACTCCTGTCTGGGCCCACCATTGCTTGAATGGTCTTTACAAAACAACATATTGGTTTTACTGAAGGCTTTAGACTACAAAACCCGACGAACCTGTTTTTGAAGGCTAGGACCCCCACACACAAAGCCCCACAACTCTGCTTCTACTCATAACCTTCAAGCTCTGGGTCACTTTCAAGCAAATGTCAAATGGAACCAACCATCTCATCAAGATCTACATCAAGAATTGCCCAGTTGCTGCTTGACAATGGTATGGCATGGTTTGGCAACCATCTGCAAGACGTGATGAAAGCAGCCCAAACGGATTTTGTCATCTGTTCCCAAGGAGCGAAAGCACGCGAAGCCGCCGCGCGCGACCTCGCCCACGATCTTCACCTGTCTTCCATCGCCCCCCCTTTCACCAACCAACGGAAGCGCTCCACCCGCAGAACCCGGCGCGGACGGGCGCCTCCAACACTCCGTCACGGGAGTCACCTGCAGCGACCGGAATCGATGCACCGAGTGCCGTGCGGACGCTCCGTTGTTTGATCCGTTGGAGTCATCGCACCGGGAAAACCGGTCCGTGTGGGAAGTACCTTCCAATGGTCGGCTCGGTCGAAGTCGGAAGTCACCTGGTAATACCTGGTATACCCTACCAAGTACATACTCAGAAGGTGTTTGGACCCTCCTGGCACCCACCCCAGTCCCACTTTCTCAGAAGGTACGACTGGAGCCCGTACGGGCATAGTGATTCCAAAATATTCCAAATATTTCATGATATTTCCAGATACCAAGGTCGGTCTGTCGAGTGATCGACTCTCGTAACCCCAAGCCATGGATCAGGTTCGCTCACTTGGAAATGAAGCAAAAATTAAGGATCGATTTTCAGAGGGGGGTCTGTGGAAAATTCTTGGGAGGCGGAGGCACCAGTGTCCCAAGAAAAAAGGAACATGGGTTCCTCATGGTTCCTCCATAGCACTTCCATTATCAAAGGGGGGGAGTTCCGCAACTTTCATGACCTCTCGACCACTCACCACGTTGAGTTTGACTTCCTCGGTCGATTTTCTAGCAGTGGTGGAACAGGAATGTGAAGAACTAGACCTAAGGGCTCCAGATAGTTTTACCAACCAAACCAGCCAAACCATTTACCCACCCAAGGAAACCCATCGTCGGCACTTCTGCCTCAGGCTGAGCACACACGTGACGTGGGGCAGGACGAGTGTTCGCCACGAGTACTTCCCCGGCGAGCGGACCAACAACGAATGTGCTTGCCAGGTGGAACCTATATTTAGTCTTGTTTGACGTTTTGTCCGATCCCTACTCTCCACTGCCGTTCGGCTCGTTAGCTCGTCCGTGGTCGGGTTTCATGGACTCGTCCCGGACGTGCAACAAGTGCCACTCCGGGGCGAGACAGGCCGGGGATTCCTGGTGCGTCGGGTGCTCGTCGCTGGAATCGATCGCTGCTGATTTGAAGAGAGGTTGGAACAGCGGCGCCCTTCGTGTGATAGCGGAGGACGCCTGTGTGGCAGCAGCTCGGGCGGTGAGGGCACTTCGATTCGCCGGGAATCGGCTGGGCGACACAGTCCCCCGTGCCGAGAAATCCCCTGGTGAGCCTGAAGAGTGGTCTTTGGAGGAGGTTGAGGAAGAGCCCCAGGAGGAGGCAAGACCCCGGACCTCGGGGCAATCTACGGCAGCCAAGTCACGACCGAAGAGGACTAGATCGCCAGAAGAGGTCAGACGGCCCAGGCCCAAGACGCCACCGCGTCCACCACCAGGTCATCGAGAGCGAGAGGAGGCAGCACGCCTGGAGGCCGAGCTTGAGGACGAGGAGCACGGTCGGGCGAAGCGGAAGAAGCATCGAGGAGGCACCAAACATCAGCAGCATACGAGACAGAGAGACGACGGGCAGCAAAGAGTTACACACAGGCCTTTGGGCCGAGAATACTACGAGAGACGGGCCCCCCCGAGGGCCAACGAGGAGCGCTGATGGAGACCCCTTTTGGGGGAAGGTTCACCTGCCGTGGAGGCAGGGGAAAGGACCGGGATCCAGATTCGTTGTTTGCAGAGGAGTTCAACGAGGGCGACATCATCGAGGTGTTCGACATAGAAGGTGTGGAGGATGGTCGACCACTTCGGGCCGTACTCTGGGTGGAGGCCGTCGAGCACAAGGATCGCTCTGGCCTCACCTTACGAGTGGCCGCATTAGGAGGAGACGAGAAGGCGGAGACGGCGTTGCTGGCGACGGTTTACAACCGGAAGAAAGTCAGGCTCCATCTCTGCACCAACAGGGATCGAGAAGGTCATTGCGCAGCAGAAGAAGTAGGAACTCACGCATTGACTTTCTACAAGTACTCTCTCCACGACTATCCAGTCAAGTTCGCGAGCGAAGGCGTGGCAAGAGCTCTCAAGAGGCGTCGACGAGAATGGGATCGCAAGAGAGGAAAAGGAGGACGGGATCCCCAACAAGGAGGTGGTTGGCGCTGGAGGTGTCAAAGCCCCCGCGCGCCCAGGAGTGTTGAGGCACAAGAGAAAGGCATTGTCCGCGCCCCTTGGCTTGGAGACCGAGGACCATGGAGCAGAAGGAGAGTGGAGAGAGCATCCCGGAGAAGAGAAGGAGGTGGAAGACGAGCCCTACGAGGAGAGAGAGAAAACACGAGGAGGCGAAGACCACGCCGGCGGTGTTGCGAAGAGCTCCAAAGCAGCTCTTACTCAGGCCCTGGGCAACCTTCGCAAGCGGCTTGGCATCGAGAAGGGCACCGAGCGGAAAGGTGGTCATGGTGCTGGTGGAGAACGCTCCGTCGTTATCGATGCTGCACCGGCCAGCTCGGCCAAGGCGAAGGCTCAGGTGAAGATGCGAGGTCAGCCGGAGGAGAAGATCGAGGACGATGTCATGGCTTTAAGAGGCACTACTATGAGCTCTTCGAAGAAGGGACAGACAGAGAAGAAAGAACGCCCAGGCGGAGGAGTGTTGATGGAGTTGGTGAACAAGGCGGCGAAGAGACCCAAGGAGTTGAAGGAGGACAAGAAGGAAAGCAAGTCATCGAAGACGGCTATGGCCTTAGTTCAAACCCTGGCCAAGGGACTGGGAGTCAAGAAGTTCCAAGGAAAGTCCATAGGCGGGTTGAAGAAGAAGAAGAAGAAAAAGAAAAAGAAGGATGGGGACGAGCCGGAGGATTCGAGCGAGGGAGATCACAGCGGGAGCTCACCGACGAAGAGCTCGGAGACCGGCTCAGGCGATTCTTCGGAGGAGAACCTCGAGAGGCTGGAGATGGCCAAGGCAACGCCGCCGTTGGAGAGGATGAGTCAAAAGAAGAAGGGGTCAGTGTTGAAGCTCTTCGTGCAACATATGCGAGAATCGCTGCAAAATCTCGACGAAGGAGAGGCAGTGGAAGCCCAGTCAGTGGTAGGAGGAGTCTCAGCCATAAAGTATTGGCACCTCATCATAAAGCCCCAGATGACAGGCAAGATGAAGGAGGCTCGGGAGATCTACTGCCTGCTCCAGGCTTTGGATTTGCTGCGAGGGGGGCATCTCGATCAGATGGGGGACCTGCTCGCAGCTCGCATCATGGCTATACACCAGTCGGTGTCGGATGGAGGCAGCTGGAGAGCAGCCAAACACCTGGAGATAAAGCCCCTGGAGACAACCTCAGCTTCAAAGACGAGCGTGGTGCTTCAAGCGAGGAAGTTCGCCAAGATAGCGGACCGTGCGCAAGGCCTGCCGCCAAGGCGCTGGTCCCCTTATGGCAAAGGTGGAAAGACGTGGTTCGACGAGGAGGATGGCACCGCTGATGGCAGAGGAAAAGGAAAGAGGAGGAAAGGAAAAGGAAAAGGAAAGAACAAAGGAGGCATGAAGGACTGGAGGGAGAACCAGGAACCGCCTCCTGGGAAGGCAGAGAGCTAAGGAGAGGCTGCTTTCGAGAGATGATGGAGGCCGCAACAGATTTGAGGAGCCTCGGAGAAGGCTTGGCATGGTTGACTACACAGCTGTTGGATGACAGATGTGGAGGAGCCTTGAGGAGTTGGTTGGGGCTCAAAGCCGTGAAGTGTCGGGCGGGGAGAGGCCGCAAGCGCCCCTCCCTCCCAATTCCTGCAGGCCACTTTGCCGGGTTGATGACACGTTTGAAGCATCATTCACTGGCGACATTGGCCCCAGGACAATCTTTGCATGACCTGCGCAGGGTAGCTTTCAGACCCGTTGCGCCATCAGGCCTTGAAGACGAAGAGAAGGGTGTTGATGCGTGGCTGCTCTGCTCAACCGTTGGCTGCAATTTGCTAGCGGGGTACAGGGAGCTGCTACCTGCAGGAGAGACGTCCGCTTTGCAGCGCAGTGCCATTGATCAGCTCAGGCCGACGCTCAAGCGAAGTCTTGAACCGGGTGGAGGACCCTGGAAGCTTCAGAAAGAGAGTTGATAATGGGCTTCGGCTTTGAGCACACGGCCCCGTGCTGGGGAGCCACAGACGTAAAATCGAACTTGCAAGGTTTCGAAAACACCAGGCTTTCTTTGATTGGAGACAGTTTCTGTATGCTTTCCTTTGCTGCAGTTTTGGCCTGTTCTTTTGATTGGGCGCCCGGGGAGTTTACTATTCACCACCTCATTCAGCGGTTAGGCCTCGCACCGGGGTTTTGTTCCAGTTGGCAGACTCCGGCGCCACTCGCACGCCGCCTGGTCTTTGGCCCCTGGGACGTCGGCCTTTCCCCCCAACCGTCGGTCACCGACCTCAATAAGGTGTTTTTGCAACGTACGAACCACACTGGGTCGGACGTCCGGATCATTACGGGGCAACTGATGAACCAGAAGCAACCTCTTCGACAGTCTATTCCCAGCTGCCTTTGGCACTGGAGCTTTCTCTTCCAAAACAAGTGGACGGTTAGCGAGCACATTAACGCCCTTGAAATGAGGCAGGCTTTCAACACCATGAATTGGTTGATTAGGGATCGTCAGCACTTCAACCTGCGTTGGGTTCATTGCTCCGACTCTTACGTGACCATATCTATCCTTTGTAAGGGCCGAACCTCATCTCAGAAATTGGAAGGGCTAGTGCGCAGGTTCAACAGCCACATGCTTCTGGCTCAAATTTATCCGATTCTTCTGCACGTAGCTTCATTAGATAACCCTACTGATGAAGCATCCCGGAAGTTCTCGTGAGGCGGCTCGCTGGCGCGCCCAACGTCGGCGTCGCCGTGCGGGCGTCTCCCTCCGAGACGCTGAGACTCGGACCCGCTACTATGTCGGCTTGCGTTGTGTCCTTCAGACCGGGCTATGAGCTGGTATGACCTTGACATGCGTTTGGCAGATTGGATCGAACAACAATGGAGTGCCGGTGAGCCAATCGGGCACATCTCTGACACTCTTTGTGGCTTGTCTCACTACGTTCCTCAGGCGAAGCGTCAGACGCCAGAGGCGTGGGCCCTTTTCAAGATTTGGAGGAAGGTGGAAACTCCCTCTCGGGCCCCGCCCTTCCCTCCTCTTGTTATTTGGGGCTTGATCGGCTACTGCGTCTTCACTTGCCAGCTTCGTATGGCAGCGGTCTTGGCGCTGGGCTTCCACGCGTGCCTTCGCACCGGGGAGGCCCTGGGCGTCGCTCCGCAAGATTTCCTCTTGAAATCTTCCCATGGTTTGCTTCGGCTAACTGACACCAAAAGTTCTAAGTCTGCAGATGAATTCATCCGTCTGGACGACGTCCGTGTCCTGATGATCCTTCAACAGGTACAAGATTGGATCCCTTAACGGTTCTGGCACAAGCCTATTTGGAATCGCTCTCCGCAAGCCTTTCGTACAGGTCTGGCCCAATTGCTGGAACACTTTCAGCTTCAAGCTCATGGATTCAGAGGTTATTCTCTCCGCCGTGGCGGAGCCACACACCACTTTGATGTGGGCGGCAGCCTGGAGAAAACCCTGCTCTTCGGTCGATGGCAATCCAGCCGAGTTGCCCGCATATACCTTTGCGATGGGCTGGCACGATTGTCCCAGATGCGTCTCAGCAAGACTCAAGAGGCTAGACTTTCTAGATTTGCCTCCTTCCAGTTCTGAGTTGGGTTACACCTTCAACCGTTGGTCGAGCGCGTTCCGCGGGGGTCGTGGAACGAGAGAATGAGTTTCAACTACAGGTTTTTGAATTCAAAGAAGCTGCGAGATGCCA